ATAATAATTGTTTTGCATTTTATCATTTTTGTTTATTTACATTGTATTACAAATAGTAGTTATGTAAGTATACTTACTATTTACATTAATATGTTTAGTTAAATTTTTTTTTGGAACATGTACATTTAATAAAATTTGGGAAAGTAAAATCACACTCAACTACCATTTATTTCTACATCGTAAGTTTGAATACGTTTTATAAAAAAAGTTCAATAAACTAAATATTAATTTGGAAAATCTTTTTGTTAGATTTTAAAAATCGGTAAAATTAGATTAAATACAAAAAATACTGGTACCCATTCTTAACAATAATTTTGTTGTATGTAGTAATTTTAGCTAATAACTTCAATGACATTATTTTTGGCAAAAAATACTTTAGACGTTTTTCTGTATTTTATCTATTCTTAATCTTATGTTTACTCTATCATAGTACCTATCATATGCTTATAAGCATCCACAGATGAATATAATAAATAATAATGTTAAATGTATAATGAAGGTAGTAAAGGCAGTACTTATTACTATAAGTAGACTATATCTTTTACCTTTATAGCACAGCATAAAAAAAATTTTAGAGAGCCCATATTCTTAAGTTATATTTCTGAGTTTCATATAATGATAGTACATCAATAATTATTTATTATACATTTGAATTAATTAAGAATTTTTTTAAAATTAAGAATCATTATAAATTAATAGTTATGACAAAAACAAAATATTTGTTAATATTATATTTCCTAACATATATTAAGATTATTTAAGTTCATCTTGCGTATGTATGATGTATGAAATATTGGTTAAATGCGTTTCCACTACACAATAGCATATATTGAGGTTAAGAGACCACGCTTATCCGACATAGGTAAATTCATTATCCATGTACTATTTAAATGGTCAATTATGGTGCGAATCCTACGGATTTATAACGCTCAGATGACTCTTATAAAAAAAAACATTATTTGCCTACCCACATATCTTGAAGATGTTCATCGTATAAGTATTAATAAAAATACCTATTTTTCTGTTACTCAATTATATTTAATAATAGGAAGGTAGTAAGGTACGTTTTCATAATTTACCGAATCGAATTTGAAGAAAAATTCATAAAATAAATAAAACACCAATTATTAATAATAATAATGCAAAACACGCAATATCATACAAGTTTATTATACTATCCCTAACTGTTTTTAAAAGCAATTACATAGTTAATAATATATATATTAACAATTTCAACTTTTTCTAATTCTAGGAGTTCATCTAATCTAATAAACACTGTATAGCCATAATATATTCCTACACATTTTTATTTTATATGTTCGTCATCAATGTATAATATTTATTATTGTTTTTTGATACATTGTACCTATATCTGATAATTATATTTCTTATAGTAATTTTGTCTTATTATGATTTTAAAGAGCAGCTATTAACAAAATTTTCAATATGTGTTGTAACACGTGACTAAATTAAAATAGTCAAATAAAAAAGAGTTAAATATTTTTTCTTCGTATGAGACTATTGTGAAAACAATTAATGTAAAACTAAAAGGCTTAACCCAAACATTTTATCATGAGGTTCAAACTTTCTCAATTAAAACAGTTATTAACTCCCATTTGTCAAACAATACAAAGTTATTAATCAGCTATCCCTAAATGGTCTTACCCATTATTGTAACTCGTGAATTTGATATTTTCATTTGATAATAAAAAAGTCCCTATACCTATAAGGATTGTTGGAATTTTAAGGCTAGGAAAAAACAAACAGCTATTGAATTTTGAACGATTGCTATCTTGATAATGATTTGGCAAACTCATCGATTGCTCATGCCGATTGACAATTATCATGCAACGATGGGTGCCGATTGTCAGATCTAAACGTGCGGTGGAATGAAACGAGACGCAGGCGAGAAGGTGTAGTTTACCGTTGTAATAGCGGTATTATAACTATTATAATATGGGAAGACGTAGAAGTATGTCCGAAAAAATTGGGCCACGCATTAGCGTGTACATAACACGCAAAGTACCATAATAATAACGTGTGTTTAAATTCATCACGGTGACAAAAGGATTTCCGTGTGAGTGTGTGACATAAAATTAATGTTATATTTGATCGAGAAAATATTGTATATGTGTCATAAAATATCAATAAGGTAATAAGTGCACGGCCTTTGTCGATGTTTTCATTGTGTATCATTTTCGATTTCAATAATATAACAGTATTACAGTATGTATAATATTAAGATTCAAATATTTTAGCCACTGTTTTAATAAATACGCGTACTTTTCTTCTTAACCGTGATTATTTTAATTTATCGTTCAACGTGGCAAGATTATAGTAACTTTGTAAGCCGAAAAAAACAGGTTCTTTACATATAAGCGTGCGTGTTCCGTGTATACGTTATACTATTGAGTATATAATAATATATACAATATACTATAGGTATATTATAATATGTATGTATAGAGTATACGTATTGGTTTGTCCCGAGATAGACAGCAGTTAATGGTGTCGGTCCCACAAATCGATGGGTCACAGGAATGAATACGTCACCCACTTTGGAAGTTATAATAGGGTCACATACAAATTAGCTTTTCACTTCTTATAGTGACTTATACTAGAATAGAATATATAAATGCGAATTGAACGCCTTACTAAAAATGTATTAATTGTTTTAACATTTCCCATGGTTCAAATTACACTTGTTTCCGATCTTTTCAGTAGGGATAAGAAATACAATGTGTATAATATTTTAATAACACAACATAATATTCTCATTCAGAGTGTATATACTTTTCTCAATAAACATCTCAGGTACAAATAGTGTAGTGATTTATGAAACCATTTGAGTTATTTTCATTTTTTTTTTAAAGTTGTATATTCAATTTTTAAACTTTTGATTTTAATATTATTTTAATAGAAAGTGGTACATATAACATTATAAGTATCCGGTGTTGGTGAGTTGCGGCCACATTTTACATTTTACTGGTTGGGCAAAAACTTAAAACTTAATGATTTGACGAAATCAAACTGCTCTATTTTTTTTTGTGCTAGCTTTGTCATCTAATGCCTTATAAATGCTTCTTTTTCACATATTTTCTTCGTTTTTATTCCATTGCTTCTACATTTGATATACGTTTCTGATTGAATTTCTACTAACACATCAATAAAATTATAGATGTTAGGATGACTAGAGTAGAACTATGAATTTAGGTGTGAATGAAAACTTTCACAGCCGTTATTGGTACGGTTACAGCTAGCAGAGAACTGTGAAAATAAATAAATTTCCCGGGCCGCAATTAACTTATTGATAGAATATGACCGGGTCGCAATTCACCGGTCTTCAACACGTAAATTACATGTCGGGCCGCAACTCACCTATAGCCTAAGTATCAAATTAATTTAAAAAATTTAAATGATTTATCATTTACCTGTTTATAAGTTACTACCAAGGTATAATTATTGTACTTGACATTAAACGGATTTGTAATTCTTTAAATATCTTTAAACTTTAAGAATCATCATAAAACAATTTTACTTACGAACTAAAATTTATATGTGTATACACTATACATATCTATAAATAAATAAGTTAACCATCAGATTTAAGAGTTATAAGAGTTATAAATAAAATCGTCAAAATAGTAACTCTATACTTCAAAAGCTTGTTTCAAATAGTAAAATTTAAGGTTTAATGATTATTTTTTTTTTTTTTTTATTGATCTTAAGCTTCGGCAACTGAGGCCATTAGCTGTAGTAGGATTTGTATTGTATATTTTGGGACGGTAGGGGGGAACACGTGTGTGTTTGTTTTTGGCAGAATTTCGAATGGGGCACCCGTAGGTTTCTGCCATGCCCCGGGGGTGGGGGATGGCAGCACTTGTTCTCCGGTCACCGCGACTTGTCCGGAGAAAAATGCCGCCCGGTAGCCGAGGATCGAACCGCGACCGGCTGCGTCGCAGCGGACGCGTCAGACCACTCGGTCACCTCATCCCCCTTAATGATTATTTTAACTAGGGAATATTTTTTTTAATCGATATTTTGTTGTTGTTGTGGATAACATACTACAATTCTTTACGGTACTAAAATCTGTCGAAGTATCAGCGGTATACCATTGTTATAAAATAAATTCCATATTTTTTACTCATGAAAATATACTTTTTCACGGAGCATTAAATTACGAGCATAATTTCCCACTTTGTATGATTCTAACCGATGACAATCACGATACTATTTTTTTTTATCATCTTGGCCAACGGTATCAACTAATTTTACTAAAAAAGCATGTGTTTTTTGTCAACGTAAATCCGAAGATATACATACATAATCTCATCATTCGCTTACTAGATTTATCTATATTGCATTATCAATTATCATATATATATATATATATACACAGTTTATGTACACGTTACACACTATATTAAGTTACATTATAGGAGTTACAAGCGTATCAATTTGTAATAAAATATATTGTAAATATTATTAAACATTTACTACTTCCACAAATTGTAGCCGTTATAGAAAAATAATTAAATCTTATTTTAATCGTGCTTATACAGCTTATAAACGTGAGAGAAAGTTCAAAAACAACAACAAAAGAATGACATAATGTTTATTAAAAACGCATAATGAAAAAATATTATTCCTAAAATAAACAGTTCTTCTATAGTACTTAGTCAATTGTTATTATATAGAAAATTAAAAATATGAAGGAAAGTAATCTTTGAGTATAGAATAAGTTCGAAGACTTTCTATCCGTATACCCAAATAGTTTTAAAATTTATAACGTATAATATATATCTTTCACAAAACAGGAAACCATTTTTAATAGATTAAAAATGAATCAAAAACTCGAAATATATGAATAATTAGTTCTTGATCAAACATCACTCAAATTTTTAATCTATGTGATTATATAGAGCTATACAACTATATTTCACGTATTAATATATTTTATATTTTCGTTCAAATTAAGAAAGGAAAAATTTGAAACTTACCACAAAACGGTATTCCTTCTGGTAGCCATTCACTAGTAGTTTCACATACTCTTCTTGCTGGTCCTAGAAGTTCAAATCCTCTTTCACAAGTATACGTAGCTATTGTACCAGTGGTTAACGTATCATTGGAAAATGATACAGTTGAGTGTGCTGGTGCACCAGGAAATTTACATCGGGTTTCAGTTGAAGTTGCCCAACATCCTACCAACCCTGTAAAACCAAATTAATATTAAAACAAATCACAAGCAATATAACAACTGTTTAAATAGTACCTATGCATAAAAAACTGTTCATATTATTTATTGAAATAATTTACATTAAAAAAAAAAATTGTGTGGGGGATATGTAACCCAAGAGGGTGAAGGCGAAACACCACAGTATAAATAATCGCATACAACTCAAACTTGTATAATAATATTCAAAAATAATTATATACTGCGTAGGTACTAGCTACTAGCTAGGTAATATTATTAATTATTTGTGAAATGGTAATTTTTAATATACCTACCTATTTATGTAATATCGGATCTAGTATAAATTATACTCATATCATTTTTATATATTATAAATAGTTATTGTTAGATTAATATAAATAACTAAAAAATTTAAATTACCATACGTCCCGCATCTTATATTAAGGACCTAAAGTTAAATAACACAAACATTATTGGTTCGAATTTTTTGATATATTTTTAATATTTTCGGAAAAAAATATCTGGTTAATAATTTACTGTCCTCATGTATTCCTTTCGCGGCTGCACACATTACATTGCTACATCAGCCAAGGAAATTATTACAAAAATTACACTATAGTTAAATCATGAATTTAATGATCTAAAATCAATAAATTAATAATTAAATCGTTGTATTTTTAAAAATATTTTTCGTAACAACAAAGTGATTATATCAATAGTGCCTACCTAGTATACCTACTTATTGGTAAAATATAAATTAAAAACTAAATAATTATAATACGTAACTACAAAAATCCTTTTTGATTACAAAAACAAACTACTGTTTTTGTTATTCTATAGAGCACGCAAAGCATGTTACATTGGTCATAGAAGTGAACAGTGATGGAACATATTGTGTTATATTGAGCAAATACGGAGGACTTACGGAAGAAAAACGATCTGGGCTAATCATAAGCGAAACAAACAACCGTGTCAAATGACCGAGTGGCTCTTGGTTATGTTGTAATCATCCTCCAATTTTCAAAATTATCGCACTGACATTTCTATGAATTTCCTAGTGTAACCTGAATTTAAATCTACGGTGAATGGTGATTACCATAATCATCAAAATCTATTTAAGCGTTTCCCCTTATTGTTTCTCGTGTTTCTTTTAAATGTTTATAATTGTCGGTTGGATGTCAAGTTTCAATCTTAAAAATACATGAAATAATAATACCCATACATTTTTTGCCATAAACATAGGTAATATAATACCTTCTACATAACTATAATAGGTATGTTAATATTAAAAATGTTTGATTTTATTTTGTACCTTTCTTAATTGGTACTATACCTAGGTACTTAAAGGACTAATTTATTGCAATTACTTTTATGGTTTATTTCAATATTTGATTTTATGAAAACAATCTTCATCGATCACATATAGAAAGACATACATGTTTTTAATATATTATTAACAGTTTCAATGGCCAAAGAAGAACCCCCAAAATGCACAGCCCGTGGTGTTCAAGTCATCATCAACCAAATTCTCACTAAATAATTAATTATTTTGAATAAGTACACATAATATGTTATCGATTTAAATTATTAGTAAACCCAATGGCGCATGTCACTGAGAGTATTGTATCAATGAAAAAAAAAAAATTTCAATAACTTTAATATTTAGGTACCTCATACGAATTTGTAGGAATACTTATGTGTTCAAAAATTTCAAAATCGTAACTATTGTGAGTAAACTAGTATTCGAACTATGAAGAATAAATACTAAGGTACCTAATATAAATATCATATATGATATATTAAACCATGTATTGAAAATAAGTAAATAATAACAATATATTTTTAAACTTCGGTACCCGTTTATTATAGTGAATAAATATAATTGGTTATGACCTACGAATTATTAACTAAAAAACCAAAAAAGTCATCAAATATATTTATAAATAAAATATTAAGTTAATTTTTACTATAAATTAAAATGACGAATGTTTATAATAGGAACCTTTTTATTTAAAATGGCATAAAAACTAGAAAACCGAGTTAATTTTCTTATGGACTCATTAAAACTGTTATTTTTATACCACAATTGGTCATAAATATATAATAATATTTATTATTTAACATTGTCTACAAATAAAATTATAAATTTACTAACCAAAAGAATCCCCAACCACCGACGGTTCACAGTTTTAGACTACTCATTAGTATCTTCACCTGAGATATTATGTATGTATATTGTATAGGTACAAAAGTGTCACAGAGCATAGGTAATGATAATATCAGCATAATATATATTTTATTGTATGGAGTTATATGCATAAGACTTATTGTAGCAAACGGCAGCTAAGGTAAATATTGAACTATATACTTTTTAGTTAAACATAATTAATAAATAATTCAAATGTAAATAAGGTATTAAGAAAAATTTCAAATTATAAAAAAAGGAATGTGAAAGCATAAACCAATTATTCTCGTTTTTATCGTTCCAAACAAGTAGGTACAAATATGTATAAACAAATAATAAAGGATGTTCGGTAATTTTGTACTTATTCTTTTTTACATTTTTGTATGGTCATAATACGATAAAATAACATCAACACTTTCTTCAGTTCAAATAGTCCCCCCCCCCTCCCCCCGAAGGCTCAAAATAATACGACAACCCAATATCTTTCAGCTCCTTATAATAATTAAAATCTTTTGAAAAATACAATAAATATTACATTTTTTTCATTAACTCTTTCATAAAGGCTTTTATCTATAAAGTGGGTAATGAAAATAGTTATTTCAAAAAAAAAAGACTGGGCGTGTATTTTAAACTATCAGTTTAAATGTATGCATAGGTATGCATAGTTTATTACTTGTTGCAAATTAAGAGTAAGTAGATACTTATATCACGTATTCGTGTATCCATTTTATAAAATACAGTTCATGTGAATTTATTATATTGGAGATGATTGTGCTTTGGAGTATGCTATAATATGTATATTGCCTATAGGCTATAAGTTAATTTCTATGTCGTTCAAAATACTAAAATTTAAAAAGAATATTTTCTTAAAAGTTAAAACTTTTTGAAATAATGAGCGTAGACACTTAAATGGATCACCCGTTAAATTGCTTTGTATTATAAACGTAATTCCCACGTAATTTTTAAAATTAACAGAAAATTATGTTTGATTTGAATTTTGAATTTTGAAATTTTAATTTGTTGTCTAGGTACCTACAACTAAGTGTCTTCATATTTAATTCAAATGAATTGTATTGCCTATAATATTAAAATGTGTAAGCCACTGTTAAAAGTGATTGTAACTTTCTGAATTTTATGTCTTAAACTCTTAACCATTCCATTGTTATACATTTAATTCACCTACCTATAAATGTTTTTCTTTATTTTTTGAAATAAACATATCATCACGTCATAATAATAAAAAATTAACTCTTATTTTGGTTTTGTAAGAATTTACTAACCGTGGGAAATGAAATTGGGTAAAATGTAAATAAAGATAACTGACTTCGGAAAGGTAATAAAAATTTCTATAATCATACAATTTTGTTAAGTAACATGACCAGATTTGATCTACAATCATTAGTTGCTGGAAAAAAATGATTTAAAATAAAAACTTTAAAAAAAAATTAACTTAATATAAACATATCTAGGTAGTATACAACTAGTATATATTCAAAAATATAAAGTACTATATAGATGGACGTATATTATACAAATAATTTTATAGAAAGTAGTAATTCAGCTATTATTTCGAAATAAACAGACACATAATATTGCATCTACCATTTTAAATTACTACAAATTAGAAAATAATAATACTTAATGAAATTATAAAAACAAATATGTTCAAAGTTAATACTGGTTAATACTATCAAATGATTATTAAAACTAAAAATAATAGATTCCTGATTTTATCAAGCAATTATGTACATAGGTATATGTGACAATCTAATAATACATATATATATATTTTTTAAAGCTTCTATAGGCACCTAGTTTTTAGTGTTTTTAAGTATCAAATCATAATTACTTAAAAAACGGCTATCTATAATTTTTACATAATCTTAGTAATTAACAAGTAGAAATTTACATAATATGCAGTGATAGCAGTAATGTATAAGTTTTCTTTCTATAGGGTCTAGACCCAATTAACCGCGACATGGTGTCTAGACGCCTATATATAGTCACAAGCGAGGGCCACGAAAGCCGTGCTATCCACTGTCTACTCTGTCAAGATACTGTCAGGATATATGGTACATTCATACCTAAATAATTTTTTACAAATTGATTTATATAATAAAAGTTAAAAATGTATAAATCGTGAATGAAGCAATCATTTTTTTTTACTTTCTTAGATCTTAATTATAGTTCAGCTGAATCGTATTTTAAGCTATAAGTAAGTACAGACTAAGCTTACAATGTTGATCATTTGGTTATTCAAATTCAACCAACATTTTTTGAACAAATATTTCCCTTTTGACATTTAAGGTATATTATTGATTTAAGGGCATGCTTTGTTGTAAAAACGAAACAATTCTAAGCGATTCTTAGAATTTTTTTTAAAAATGTGTGTTTTCGCATGCTTTATATGATAGAAATTTAAAAAAAACTGTCAAATTTTGTTTGGAAGTTATGGTCAAAAACTTAAAAATTCAAAATAGTATTTTTAAGTTTAAATTATCAAAAAAATAATATTTTGGTTTTTTTGTTGTAAATGTGAGTTTTTCACCCTTAAAATTTTGGTGGAATCAGAAATTATCCATCGTTAATAAGGTATTTTTTTAAAAATCTCATTCGGGGGATACTTATTCAGAATTGTTAACTGCAATAGTTGGAAATCACGTTTAAGTCCAAATTAATTTGATTCAACTATAAGTTTATCATAAAAGTTGAACGACATTAAAAACTACATTTTTATGATCAATAGCCAATAGCCATTGCCCATCAGGTTTAGAATTTAGATTACGACAGACTATTTAAATAAAGAGTGAAATACACATGTTATCTAATTATTTGTTACGGATTGTTTGATAAGATTTAATTTAATTATTTACTGCTACTGTAATATTCGTAATGATTTTATGGGGAAACAAGCAGTATATACAGAGGAAGCTGGTTCATTCATTAGCTGCTACCACCAGTCAGGCCTATGATCAGTGGTTAAGAACTTGAAGTTTAATTTTGTGTTTCATGTTCTATTCCATAAAAAATAATGTGAATTTGTAACAAAAATGTTCGACCAGCAGTTCAAAAAACATCTATTATATTCATATAGGTTATATCAACACGTATGGGTATAACTCGAACCTCATTAATGAATAACTATTTGATAGTATTTATGCTATCTGGATAGAAAAATGTAGTGAGGAGAAATGGACCAGCCAGAAATGTTTTTTTTTTTAACTTTGTGACCTTTGTGCAAATTTTTTCAATGTAACTTTGAAATGTGAAATGTTACAGGAAGCTTTGCCCTTATTATATATAGGTACATGATTACGATACACCAAACTTCCAAGATAAAATATTATATCGATAGTATCCAATATATCTAGTTAATAATTTTCATGTAGTATTATTTATAGAACTACAGTAACTATATCACGCATTGCATACAGTGCCATAACTTAAGAATTTAATCGCTGGAGGTGCAAGCATATTTTATGCGGCTTGGTCAAAATATAATTTTTAAATAATCAGTTTGGTAACCAAGTATAATTGGGATGAACTACAGTTTGAACGGGTATGTATACAATATATGAAAGAAGATTAAATAATAGTTTATTATTAAAATATATAATATTTAAAATCAAATCGACCGGACATGTACAATTAATGGTCCCAACTGAGGGTATTTGGCACCCCAGACCCCGGCTGTGGCACTAGCTGCACACTGCAAATTTATGTATTTATAGAAATTGCACCAACCTGTAATCGTCAAGACGACGAGAAGAAACGATCGCTGCATCTTGCAGCAAAGAAAAGAAGAGCACTCCTACAAAATAAATCGCGTAAATTGCACACTGCAGTGTAGTTACGATTTTATCGGCGGTCGTGTTTCGCGACACATTCGGCAGAGAGAAAATCAAGTTGGCCAATGAAATTAAAAATTAATAATATTACGACGACAGATACGACGCGCAAAACAAACGGCGGACGAGAACCGGGATGCGTCAGCACTAACCGGAGCAGCGTGACACTTGCGACTGGAGAAAATTGAAAAATACGAAAGTTACCCGGCGGTGTACCTAACCAAACCGGTCATCGGCGTCGTCGTTACCGCCACCGCCCACCAGAAATCTAGCAGGAAGAGCGACAGCAGCAGCAGGTGCGACGCCGCCGCCCCATCAACCGACTGTTAAGGAGGGAAACTCTTCGGCGGTGGCATTTTTACAGCGTCGCGCTCTGTCCGCCATATTTGGCGTTTATACGATAGTGCTCGACCAGTGTTGCCAGTCTAACGGTCGACGGTCCGTTCCGTTGGTCACAGTGTATTTGGTCGCGCGCGACGGACTGATGTCTGATCTAGTTTATCCATCATGGCCGTCACGTCCCTACGCTTGTGTGCCGATCGCGTTCTCCGTTAACAACGATTAGGGATATAAAAATAAAAATATAAAAATAATAACAACAACGGTAATACAATAATCGTAAAATCGAAACATCAATTATAACGAATGTGGCCGCGAAACTAAGTGCGTACGGTGTTTAGTTGCCTCGTTTTTTATTTCTCCGTTGATTATGCACTCATCGCGATTGTCCGACCGCTGTGCGACGAGCGTACGTTAAGCAGTGCGGTTTGTGTGCGTGTCGATGGGATCGGGCCTCGAGAGCCATGAAGCCGTACGACAAATCGAACGTAAGTAATGCACTAAGCGTCATAAGCTTTCCTCTGATCGGCGATGTCACGTCCGACAATTTCCTACTGATTTTCCCGCCCGTTTGCGCCGCGCGATCACATGGTCTTGTGCGGCGCAATGTCTGATACCTTCGTGTCTCGTTGGATTCGATCAAATTATGATTTTTTTTTTTAAATTTTTATATTGTTTTTCCAGTCTTTTATGAGGAGGGTCACGAAACGCGTGTCCGAATACCTACCCGGAATGACGTGGATGAATACGCTGATCAGCGATGCGCAAACCGATGACGACCCTACGTCAACGACTGAAAACGACGATCAACCTCCAGTGAAAAAACTGTGCACATCCAATAACTCATTTACAAACACCAAATACCAGCCTACAAATTCAACTGATAACCACAGAAGTTCAAGTAAGCTATGATCTATTTATAGTGCTTATTTTGTGATATCTCGTGTTTACCTTTTTTAACTGTTGTACTTGTAAATGTGTAGATGTAAATGTCCTATTGCCAGAGATATCTGCAGTTACTTGTATACCAAGTACAAGTAAACAAAGTCCAAAATTTACAAGCCTATCAAGTGCTTCCTTACAAAGCCATGATGTTGGCAATAGAAGTAAGTGTGGATGTTAAATCTTATTCTTGAAATTAGTTCCACAAAAGTATTTATATTAACATGAATCATTTATAATTTCTGATTTGTGTTAGTACCCATATTTTTCTTTTATATATTATCATCAATATTTTCAGTTAGAATTACATTTACAAACCACTCAATTATACACATACCTGTAGCTAATTTTTTTGTTTTTTATTATTAAATTAAAAGGGTAGGCGATGAATATAAGTTATGAGGAACTAAAATTATTTACATTAGTTTGCATGTTTAAGTTTGTGCATAATTAAACATTGACATTGAGGAATTTAGCTTCACAATTGTCCCTCGGGTGAATATATTTTGAATTTCTGTTATTAATATAAAAGAATATAGAAATTATCAATATTAATTATTTGTAATTACTTCTTTATGAATTAAAATAACCATTTAAACTATAATATTTCTTTTGCCTGGTTAGGTTTTTGAAACTAAATCGTTAGGTAAAAAATAACGACCAATCATTGCATTAGAAACTATACAATTTTCTAAAAATAATAAAGTATTTGTGAATTATAGTCATATTTATTGGTTGGATTAAATATTTTTTAATTTGCTTATAAACTTATACTTCTATTTGATAGCAAAACATTTGGTTCCAAAATTTTGATTTACCAATAAAACATTTGTTTTAATTAATAATATCCAATGTATTAACCACAATTTAAGATATAAAGGTTGCTCAACTCTGGATAGAAATTGGTCTCCAGAGTGATGCTCGTGGTTTATCCCCTAAAATGAACTGTTCATCATAAGAATAACTGCTTAAGCTCTCAGAGTACATAACTAAATATGTATCAAAATAAAGAAGATCTATCATACAAATATATATTGCTTAACTATATTAATATCCTCTTGTATGCTAGTTGCACTTCTTGCAGGCTGTAATTGAGATAAACATAGGGCATCAAAAATAAGTCTATGTTTAATAACCCTGTATTTTAAATTGTGGTATTGACTAACATTTTAAAAACTGTGTCATATTTTTAAACAGTATTACATTCAAACCATATAAGTTTTAATTTACATATATCTTATATCCAGTGTAGTTATTGTTATTAAAAGGATATTTTTAATTCATGGATATGGTACATAGCTATAAACATTAATTATGTGCTTAATCGCTTGTGTTCTTTTCTTAATTTTTATTTTACTTAAAAGTTTTTAACACTTGTTGCTTTGTAGTACAAAATATGCATATACATAGACACATAGTTGATAACAATTTAATAATAAGTTGCATTTAATTTTAGTTCCATTGATAAGCACGAAACAGTAGTTAAGTTACTAAAAGTTCTCCCATAATATTCTATTGCATCAATAAAGTCAAATTTGTACAGTTTATTTTTAGAATGGGAGGGTCCTAAAATGAAACATCTCTGTCATACTTCTATATTAATCATTGAATTATCATGCTATTACATTAAACATACAAATAATTAATAATTATATAATGTTACCTGTTCTTTTAGGGACGTATTTATGAGGATGCTTAAGGGACCCCTAGATCCATTCACATTTTAATTTTTGTAATTAATATGTTCAAAGACAGTTTTCATTAAATAATATCATTATTTTACAATTGTAAATATCTGATACTATTTACCTTTAAATTTTGAGAATTATTGATCATTTATATACTACATCAACACTACTAGTTACTACCTTTATAGTTAGTTAAAGACATTTATACTGTACCTAATATAATGTAAAATGATCTGTTAGTATTCACTTCTACCACAAGCAGCAACTAATGAGAAAAGATCCAACTGCATATTATAAGACAAAATAATTTATACTGCATTTACACTACTATTTTTGTATATATTTTGAAAGTAAAAAAAATAAAAATAAATGTACATTTTTTTACACCAATACGTTTATATACTCATGCTTGAACCCTTCCAATATGTATATATGTACCTATAGATAAGTTTATACTTATACCTATGATATACTGTTGTTGTTTTTATTATTATTATTTTTATTAGAATAATTTTAATTTTCTAAAAAGATAACCTCCTAGGGTTTGTGAATGTATAAAATAAACTAAAATTACTGTCATTTTAAATAAAGGTTGTCTTAAAAGAAAATCTGACGTGATAGATTTGTCAAATATAAACAGACCAAGTTCAAAAACACCTTTCAATTTTGCTTCATCAACACCTGCAGTAGTTACAGCAAATAAGCAACCAGTTGCAATTAGTAAGTATTATAATTTTTATTTGAATAACTATAGTTTTATTGTATTCTAGAGAAACAATAAAAAAAAATACATGACCCAAGATATACTATACTTATTAAACATGTGAAAGATAGTTCATATTTTTTCAACCAGTTACTATTGATTAATTAAGATTAAATTCAAAATAAATTAGTATTAGAATAACCCATTCATATGTGAAGATAATTTCATGTATTTTTGTTTGGTTAGGATGATTCTTATAAACTCAATTACTCATTAAGTAACATGAATTTGTGCTTTTTTAAACTTGTGAAACAAAGAATATTAATGTGAAGTAATGTTTTTGAGTTACTTATAAGAAATACAAAGGTTGATATTCTAATACAATTCATGAATTTTACTTATTGTTTAAATTGTAATTAAATATATTTTTCTAGGTTTAAAAAGATCATTAAATTTAGAACAATTATCTACTAGTAATGAATGTTTAACGCCAACTTCATCAAAATTAATAAAGCCGAGTAAGTAAATTAATTGTTAATTTTTATTTTCGTATGAATAAACCTTTAAGAGGAAGTTGCACCCACATCAGTTGCGTCCAATGGTGGGGGGGTGAAGGGGCGTTTGCCCCTGCCATAACATTTTTTAATATATATAATTACTTTTATGTCAACAAAATTAATATTAATACGTATAATAGGTATATATGGATTTTAAAAATAGGTTTGCCCCTTCCCCCCTTGAAACTGTCTAGGGACGCCCCTGACCCACATGCAATGTTTTCATTGTTTGCCAGTTTCAATTTTGTACTGTTTTAATATTAAAGTAAATTGACCTATTAAACAATTTAAAAGTAAAATTATTATCTGGAACCCCACATAGTTTATTATTGATATTATTATTTTTAAGAAAGTTATGACCTTTTTAAACTGTGCATTTTAAAATGATCAACAAATGCGAGTATGACGTCCTTTTAACAAATGTAAAAAAAACATAGGTCAAAAATTGGTTGGCTTTATATCTTACTTTTATACAGAATATGTGTATTTTATTATTTAAATAAATCACAAATTGTGAAATCATAACTGCGACTGAAAACATAATATCACTGACACATGATTGTTGTAATGGATTTAAAAAGGTATCATAAATCATCGTGAACGAAAAATAAATCTTATTAAATTATTGCACCTGCTACATTTTTGGAGGTTTTTCTTTATACTTCAAGAAACCTTAAAGAGGAAATTTAGTCTCTTTATGATACATGTTTATGTTTGTGTATTATAGTTGTAGCAATATATTTATATATATAAGGTTCATAAATATTATTATACAAAATATAAAGAATTTTTATTACTTAAAAAAAAACTATCCATATTTTCAAGAATTGTGTAATTTATAAAAAAAATAACAATATTTTCTTTTGTATAATACTTTCTGCTATGAAGTATCTTATAAATTGATATTTGAAATAAAAATACCTATAAAGATCCTTTTCAATTATTCTTGCTGAAGCACTTAAGTAATAAAGCCTTTGGACCAATCATCAATAATTTACATAAAAGTATTTCAATGATTATTATATTATTTATACATAATGGAGACAATTTTTTTTGCTTACTTGATTCTTTTAAATGGATTTTAAAATTTTCATTTTATCAAAGATTTAATTTTAGGGGAGAATGAATCACATCAACAATCTTCTCTAAAATTGCACGAAACCTCAACAAATCATGGATTATCAGCATCATTTAGATGGGATACGTTTGTCAACTATGGAGAAGTAAGTTATCTTTTTTTATCCACTGCAGGAATAATTTTTTATTTTAATTGGCTTTATTATTTTCAGTTGTCAGAGCGTCAAAAATTGTTTGCCCAAAAGTCACCTTTAAATTGTTCTCAAGTTATGTATGGGGGCAGTTCTGCACGTTCAAACTTATCAAAAATTTTAGGTAATACTCCGCCCATTCATAGAAAAGCGGTGATTCCAATATCTCCTTCAAATAATAGTGAAATTAGAACAACCTCGTCCATTCTTCTGGGCCATATTTCTACTAAGGTTAGTAAAATAAATAATAGTAAAATAAAATATAGAATGTAACAAGTATTTGTACACTCCATATTATCAATGATAGAATTTTAATTTAAGGTCGCATTAATATTCATTTAGTATACTGTTAACAACGAGAGACTTTATTTTGACTTCATAAAAATATTAATTATTTATTTCAGAACAAGGAAATTGAAGAAAATACATTTATTATTCAACCTAAAGTGCATCAAAGGCATAAAGCAGATCAAAAAAATGTACCAATTAAAGTAGAGTCCACGGTGAAAATTGTTGAAACACCTGAGAAAGCTGATAGCAAATCTTGTGAAATCTCGTGAGTTAAACATTTATTATACTACTATTATTGGTACTGGTTGTGTTGACGCCAGCCTAGGAAGAATTCTCTCGTCTTTTTTATTTTCTGATCATCATACTAAATAATTTTTACGTTTAAAATTATAAAGTACAAAAGTATTTTTTATACTTTTTAATAGTTAATCAATGAGCAAAACAATAATATTGTGTATTTGGTTTCCTAATAGTCCACAAACTAAATCATAGTAAAATTCATTATTATAATATAATGAAATTCAGCATTAATCCTATAATAAATTAATAAACTTAATAATAAATACCCAATAACTAATGATAATTAATGAGTAATGAGTATACAAACATGTATCGTATGGGATATTGAGTAAATAGTTTTCTCTAATGTTTTTAAGGGCCTGTCCCTCTAGTTTATATAAATAAATAAATAAATAATTGAGACTTAGATTTAATAGTCAATATCAGGATTAACATATGATTTATTTAGAATTTATTTACAGATTTCAATAATTTAACATAATACTGAAAAATCAATGTTCTATACTTCAAAAAACGAAGTATAAATTATATTAAATGTATATTTTTAAATTGTGAGCGATTAATTTATATATATTTATTTAATTTTTATATCTATTATATTCAGTTAAATGTATTTTTATTAAGAATATTCACTTATGCATAAAATATTAAAAATATTTATTCTTTATCAATCAAGGAATTTGATGAAAACTCATTGACTGCTTGTTTATGATATAGAAAATAGCAACATACTTTATATGCAAGATCTAGTCTTTATTTATAACTCATACACTTTTCGTTTAATATTTGATTTCTTTATGTTGAAGTATTCCAATAAATATTTTTCCTTTGAATAAGGAAGTAAAAATGCATATTGTCATTAAGTAACAAAAAAATTGTATCCTTCATTTCATATTTTAAATTAATAGTTATCTATATTCCCCAATGAAACCACTAACCAGAAAGATTTTATATTATGAGTTTCAGCCAGTATACATAATTAATAGATTATGTCTATATTTGAGATTAATTACACCTATAAAATATTTCTTTTAATGTTAATTCGAAATATTAGTAAAATTAGTTTTAGAGTTAACTCATCAGTAATTGAAACGTAAAAAGCAAAATGTAGTAATAATAGTTCAAATATAAAAAATATTGGTTTTCTCACTTGATGAATCATGTATAGTTATGCTATGTAAAAACAGTCTTATTTCAGCTGACCGTAATGTTTTGATAAAAAGTTGGACACTCATGAGTCATGATTTAAAAGTATTTCAAAATGATATCAATCAAGACTAGATATTAAGATAAAATATTCATCTGATTCACTCTGCGTTAATTCTTCATTGAACCTATGATTTTTTAGTCTACATGAGTCTATTATGTTATTTTTAACATAGCTTATGGTTGTGGTTGCTTACTCAAAAGTAAAATAAATTATGTTAAACATCCACTACTATTTTATTCTGTAAAATCATATTATCATACTTAAATTTTTTTTACAAAATTGCAGGTCTAAATGCATGACTTGTAGCTAATTATAAAATGTGTCAATACTGCATTCTAATTTTAAACTTGATTTTGGTTAATTATATTATATTTATCTTACAATAGTAACTGATTCAGAAAAAAAGTTCTTTGCAGTAGATTTTGACAATAACATGTAATTCAGATATTATTATTTTCACAGGTCAACTTATTCCGGCCAAGTAGATTCCAATGCAGCAAGGAAACTTAGAGTAAATCTTTCCAAAAAGGGGCGTGGTACCAAGGCTGAACTTGAAATGCCTGCTGAAGTCAATTTACCCAGGATTTCTTTACCAATGACTGCATTACCAAATATCAATTTATCAAATACATTTGCTGAGGATAATGAATTCACATTCAATCAACCATTAACTATAGAACAGTTTAGTTCACAACTTGCAGAAAAAACGTCTAGAAAAACACATAAAATGACTTTGAAGAAATCACAAAATACTAATAATGAGGTAAATAGTAAAGATCAATGTAGTACAAAAATTCGAAGTACAAATATTAATATATCTCCAAGTGAATCTTTTATTAAAGAATCTAAGAAAGTATCAATTACGAATAATGATACTGCAATTGAGAATCTTAATAAAAATAACAAGTTGTCACAATTAAGTAAGTTTGTTGATGATCCTAAAAATTCTCCCAAAACATCATTGCCATGTTCTGGATCTAAATTAGATTTTACAAAACCTGCAAATAAAATAGTTGACAACTCACCTAAAAAATTAGAAAGTAATAATAAAAATCAATTAGTACCAGAAAAGTCATCAACTGAACCCAAAAAATGGTCATGTGATACTTGTTGGGTTTCTAATAATGCTGATGTAGTAAAGTGTATTGCATGTCAAGCTCCCAAGTCTGAGAAATCTCAAACACCGACATTCAATGTTATAAAAAAATCAAGTACATGGACTTGTGAAACTTGTTGGGTTCCCAATAAAAATGAAATTGAAGTATGTGTTGCATGTCAAACACAGAAGCCCGGAACTACAAAAAAAAGTGTAGTACAGAGTAATTCTTGGACTTGTGATGGTTGTTGGGTGAAAAATAAAAGTGATTGTACGACTTGTATTTCATGCGGGACAGTAAAGCCTGGGTCTGTACCAGAAAATAAACCTTTGCCTTCAACTCAATTTAAATTTGGATTGAATAACAATACTTTTGAAAATTCTGGCGCTAGTCAGTTTAAATTTGGATTTGATAGTAAAATTGATCAACCATCTAATAATCAGTTTGAATTTGGAAGTGCTGCTCCATTTACAAGTTCTGATACTAAAAAATTAGATACTCCTGCTAGTGAATTTAAATTTGGCATAGTTAACAATGAAAAAGATCAACCACCTAGTACATTTAAATTTGTAACTGATAGTATAGCTAGTGTGCCAGTAAAGAAATTAAATGAGGGATCAAATATCAATAATACTGATCACCCTGAAACCCAGTTTAAGTTTGGTTTTCAATCTAAAACAGACCAACCTGAAAGTCAGTTTAAGTTTGGGCTTAGTGCCACAACTAAAAAACCAATTGCACAATATAAGTTTGGTTCAGATAAGACCGAAACTGAAAAATCTGTTCATCAAAACCTTGTTGTTAATAGTAATATTGTTACTCAATCATCAAATGAATTTAAGTCACTAGTAAACAACATAAATAAAGAATCTGAAAATTCATTAGAATTACAGAACAAAAGTAATAAGCGTAAAGTTAATGATTCAAGTGAAAATTCAAGTACCCAAGTATCTTTTGGATCTGTCGAAACTAACTGTAATAACTCAATTCCAAGTATAAATGTTGGGCCTAAAAGTGAAGATCTATCTAAAAAGAAATTTGTATGGGATACAAAAGTAAAAAAAATTGATATTAAGCCAATATTAAATTTTGGTTCTACTCAGCCTGTTCAATCTGCAATTGAAAATACAAATCAGTTAGTAAATGGTCATTCACATCCTAATGAAACATTAAATGATGATCAAAAGCCAGGTTTGATTAAGACTTCTCAATTATTCAGTTTTGGTTCATTGGCAAAACAAGATCAAAATGTTCCCGTTGACCAAAAAAGTCCTAAAATGTTTACATTTGGATCAGCCACAAATGATAACAAACCATTTACATCATCAATAATGGGTACTAGCAGCTTTCCTAGTACTGCTCCAGTGTTTGGTGCAAGTAATTCAATGTTTGGTAGTGGACCTACTACATCTACTCCAGCAACATTGGGTTCTTCTATACTTACACCTCAATTTTCATTTGGTTCATTGGCTCCACAGATTCCCAACAGTTTTTTTTCCCAGACTGCAAACGACAATGATAAAAAGCCATTGGCTCAAACTTCAAATTTATTCAGTTCTTCGAATAATGTTGGATTTTCATTTGGTGCACAATCTTCACCCGTATTTAGTGTTCCCAGTGCTGGAGGGCCCACAAAAATGTCTACTACGGTAATAACCATATCAATATATAATATACTTACATAACATTAAAAAACAATTAATTTATAATTATTTTTAGGATGTTGATCAGACTAAATGTACATCAAATAATATATTCAATCAGCCAAGCACGAAACAAACTGTTAAATTAGACCCTAACGCACCTATATCCATTAATTTTACTGGTGGAGCAACTACTCAATTTACGTAAGTATTAATGTTTTATTTAATTATTTTAAAACTATTTGAATTACAATATTATCTTTTATTAGTGCCAAACCAGAAACAGCTGAGCAACCTCCTAAAAGAAAAATTTTAAAACCAGTTAGAAGGATTCGGTAAAATATGGACACATACTGCTTTGTGTATTTTGTTGTAAGTTTCATTGTTTTTATTGTGTAACAAAGTTAAGTAATACTAAAACTGTTCAATGTTTGAACTGATTCTTGTCATTATAATTGTATAATTATATTCTGTGGTTAACAATAGCTTATTTAAAAACAGGTTGAGGTCAATATTTTTTAGACAGATAAACAATTATTATTTGGATATTCAATTACATTTGACAACATATTTGATGGCGCACAGAATTTGGGGATATGTTAATAACATATTAATAAATTAGTTTTTTAATTTTAATTTAAACTTTCTGCATTGTAAACTACATGTACTAACTTTATACATCAAACTATTTAATGACTTCTTTTTTAATATTATTTTGGTAAAAAAAAAATAAAAAATCATCAACTATTGTCTTAATTTTTGATATTTTGAATGATGGAAACTATTAAAAAAAAATCTTATCATAAAATAATTGTAAGCATTTTCTTAGCATCTGGTTCCAACTTAATATTTTTCTTATAATTAACTAAAAATTTATTTTAAAAAAAAAAGTGTACCTACCCACTTCAGACAGCCTAATTAAACTTTTATTCTTTAATGTATTTAATACAATCTAGAATAATATGCTAATGTTTATATTTTAATCATTCTGTACATAGTAATAAATGTTCTGTATTTTGTATTTTTGTAAGTTATTTTATGGCCTTTTTTTATTTCATCACTTACATTGAATCTAATAAATTATACTTAAAAATTATTTATTATAAAAAAAATCAAATACTAATAATTCAACAACTAAAATACTAGTTTTTTCTTACTGTGCGCCACCTTTTCACTTCTCCAATCTTATTAAAACCGTTTATTATATATATATTTTATTTTCGTTAATTTAATTCATTGATACATATTAACATATTTTGTTGTTAAATATTTGCTTTATGTTAAAAAAAAATGTAACAGTGTATATTTTTTAACGGTTTAAAAATTATATCAAACAATTAAATGGATGTACAACTATTTTGTTTTAGTGAGTTTAATTAATTGAATTATCATTTATCGGCTCCTATGTGCCATTCTATTGTTATAATACAAAACAATTTTAAGTGTTATTATTTAATAACTCATGGTATACAGAACACAACATTGTTTATTAAATTTCGTATATTATATATGTTAAATAATATGTATTTTTTTCTTTTAGTGGTTATATTTGTTTTTAAGTGTAATATTCTAAGTCTGACCCAAGGAATTTCTATTGGCAACAGAAGTATGGTTATCATGCTGTATGAATTATATTCAAATGATCCCCTATTTTTATTTCAAAAAATAATTCCTAAATATTATACAGGTATTATATTTTATTTTTGTATAGTAAAATGTAAAAAAATAACTATTACATTACTAGTTAAAAGTTAGCCAAATGGCTTGGATGTCTGTGATATTCTTGTGGGTCAGGCTATGTTCGATGATAATTATCGAAAACTGTAGCAGGCTCACTCCTTTGAAATAAATGTATTTTTAATTAAAAAATTTAAATATACATTTCATATGTTATAAAAAGAAATAAAATAAATGATATTTTAGAACTTTTTTAAATTTCAGAATGTTTATTTCCATTTACATATTTATGCATCAGTAAGTAGTTATTATATTGTTGTCTTTTTTTATATATATACATTTGTTGTAAAGTGTTGCTGATTTAATATTTTGTAAACCAATAAGTGGAAATAAACTAATTTGACTGTGATGTAAGGATAGAATTTATTTTTGTCCAAGTGAATAATTTTAGGAGTAAGGCTGCTAATTCGAGCTTCATGTAGCCTATTTTTCTTTATAAAGTGTACAGTCTTTAGTTATTATAAGTACTTTAAGTCTATAAATTACATTTTACAATAGTTTGCATTACATTTCTTTAAAAATTGTAATTTAGGTATGATGCATAATAAAATTATATGTTTTGTTTATTTTTGAAACATTCTTTCATTTACTTTAGTAAATGTACTCAACTAATATTATATTTTAGTGTTATTCATTTTCAGGACTGTTTATGTGTGTAATATTCTGAAAACATGTCCATCTAAGTTGGGTATTCTTGAAATGTATTAAAATGTATCAAAAATTGCATTGTACATGGCTTTTTATATCACACAAAATATTGAATTAATTGTCTTTAATATTGCTCGCCAATTTCCATTATAGATTTGAAAATTTGCAGGTAAATTTCATTTTATGTTAATTCAAAAGACATCAAACATTTATTTTTCATTTTACAAGTGAATTAAAATGTGAGTTTAATTATATTGTGTCATTTTTAGATGAACCTTAAATTTTCTGTCAAAAGAATATAGTCAATATAAAAAAAAATATATTCAATATTGTATTTTGATAAATGAAAATGCATCAATTTACGTTTTTAAATATTTTTTAGTTTCATAAAACTGAAATTTGTAGAATATGTCAAAATACATGTTCTGTCGGTCTATCAAATTAAAAATTATGTTTATACTTAATAGACACAAATTTAATTTTCTGATACATTATGCCAGATTCATTCATTGTTATTAGGTATCTTAATACAAATAATTATTAAGCATTATCTAAACTGTATACAATTTTAAGATGTTTTTTAATAACTGCATACATATGACGTATTTTATTTTTAAGCCAATAAAATAAATTCATTGTACTGTTTTTTAAACTTAAGAGCAGGTTTTCCTAGGTTTGGGCCAAATATTTAAAATGTTTTTGTGAGCCTAGTTTAGAAGGTGTTAAGTGTTACTTTGGGACTTCACATTCTGTGAAATTGAGCCTATCCTTAATTCTGAATCATTAGATGAATTATGGACACAATAATGCTCAGCTCAAACTGCCTTAAGCTGGCCCAGATTAATTTAATTCTCTACTTTAATATCTTCATGAATACCTAAGCAAAAATGATTGATAAAATAATCTATTTTGATTTAAAAAATATGTTTATTTTAATTTAACCTGAATGTTTTGTTATGCTTGGTATCCTACAATACTTTTTTAGCTACTGATTGTTGTAAATTTATAATTTATAATAGGTTAAAACAATAAAATAAAATACTTAAGTTGAGGAAGATTCTAATGCTGTTAACCTATTGATCTCCACTGTTGAGTGGGAAAGTGAAATATTTTATCAGGCATTCGCTTTTTGAATGACCTGCCCAACCCTTGACTACCTACTTTAACTAATACTTATTATTGAAGTTATTATTCTTATTAAACATCAGGTTCAGATAAAGCTAGAGCCTTGGGCCTACTACACTTTTTCATTAAACTTAGTACTCACCCACTGCCTTTTTAAAATTATTGAGCAATAGTTTTCAAAATTTTGGCAAACATACCACCAGATGGCCACTAAGTCTATGGCTTTCAATCGTTTGCATTATACTTTAAAAAAATATAGTTTTATAATATTAATTTCTAATAATTTGATGCTTTATTACTATTTCCCATGTGTTCTACCTTGTTGTTATGTCATTAGTCAATACTAAGCCCTCCATGGAAAATGAAGACTTGATACTTAATTTGGCTCAGATGTACACAGAGATATACACACTAATTATCTAGTGCATAAATGTAATAAAAAACTAAAAAATTCAAGTAGATTGTTATTTGTTATTGTATTTAAATGTAGTCAATCCCCCTTACTACCTGCAAGATTCATCATGATATTAAGGCATAAGTAAGACATAATTTTAAAATATTAGTTTGATATTGATGACTGGCGTGTGTCAATAAGATAATGGGTATAACAATATATTGTGTGGTGTTATACATTTTGCCATTTTTAAATAAATAATGATTATTGAAAATAACAAATCACAATTAATAATTCTAGGTAGACCATTCTCCTTTTGTTATTGCTAATTGGTAGGACTCTGAAAGAAGGAATTAATGCTGTATTTTTCTAGTACATACTAATTAAACGATGCTAAGAAGCTTGAAATGTTTATTTAGAAAAATTAATCACAATTTACTGACCCTTAAGTTTGCCGTTGCTTAACCTTACCTTGCTGTTGTAATTTGGCACCTATTTACATTTTTAACGTATTAACAATATTTTAAAAACAAAAGAAAATGTTTAAATATTTTATAAATAACCTATTATTTAAAATTTGTTTTATTTTCCCTTTAAATTATGTAGCATCCCGCGCCCTCTTTTACCAGTCCGCGCCTGCTGATCCCTTCAGTGGATGAAGAGGGAAGTTTTTGAAATATAAATAATTATTTTCTGACAACTGTTGTTCATATAATTTGTACATCAAATATGCTTTAATAGTACCTGCAATGCATTCATTTTGAGTAATTTTGTAAGATTTTATACTTTGTGTAAAAAAAAATTGTTTATTTTAATTTTAAATTAATTTTTTAGTAATTTTATAACTATTCCAAGGTCATCAATTTATGAACTCTACTTATTATACTTATTAACACAGAATAAATATACAATTCAATAAAGAAAAAATTAAAATTAAATGTCATTTATTCCGTGATTTTACTTTCATAGTAATATAGTCATATGTATTATTCAATAAACTGTCTTAAACAGTTATAAATTATAATTGGAGACTGGAGAGCCTAAATTCTAAGCTTAGTATTCTTGTCTATGGTTCTAAATAAGACTTATAAAGTTATATAATTTCCTCCATAGCGGTAGCAGCTTAGATATAAATTAATTAATACCTATATGGAGTTTTTCCTATATAGTTTCAACCCATTTCTAACCATGGTTCGATCTAGGGTAAAGTTCCATAAATCTAAGTTTGTGCATTGTACTGAAATGCTCTGTGCTGTATGTAAGTTGTGCAATAGTGCATTCCTGCATTGTTGACAGTAGTTGACAGTAGTAAGTTGTGCGGCGCACCTATTCATTATCTACGAACGACGAATGTGTAATCTCCTTGCACCGCGGCTAACCGTTAAAATCACGCGCGTCTGTTGGCAGCAGTGCAGTACAACAACCAATCGGGTCGCCGGTACTTTTTCGAACGTTTGGATTTTGGAATAACGACCAATTATAATTTATGGTGAATGAAACGTACGGATTGATAAACCGACTAACCGCTTACGGGATTTCCATCGGAGTTTCTGTTCGACAGACGGTAACAGCTTTTACGTTATACTTTTTTTGTGTGATATTGTGCTACGTTAGACGCTAACTGAACTCAAAGGTGAAGGACGTTAGCGCAACGCCGAAACGGTTTAAGTCGAAAAGTTTCTTACTACATTTTGAACATCTTCGCCGTGTCCGAATAGTCTGCGGGCGTTTCTGTAGTAAGGTATTCAAAATACAAAAATCATAACCATGAACAAGGACGATGCCTTGTTCGAATTTGATGCGCCCAAGACGTTCGTCAACCTTTACGAGGTTGCAAATGCCAATTATGATGGCGCTGATAGAATTTTTGGTAAGTCCAGCAGGCTATATAACCGTTAATACCAAATGTTGGTTGGCAACGAAATTTCTAGTACCTGTTATATTTACTTGATATAATTTACTAAGATCAGCAAACAATACTGACAATAATAGACGTAGGCATATTTAATATAGCTACACAGTAATGGCAATTTAATATGGGTATTAATATTGTAGAACCATCACTTTTAGGTATACCTAATTTGAAATCTAATTTATAATACTAGGTATATTTAGTTACATCTTTGAGTTTTAGTGCGTAGAAAATTACTGCTAAGACATAGGTCCCACAACTTACAGTTTTTATTTCTATTTGATTTAGGATTTTTTTAACCTACATACTATAATATATGGTTCATTGTTTAAAATGTATTCATTTTCATAATGAAATATTATAATGTGGAATAATTACCTACCTTTGTATTCGTTTTTGATGTTTTTCTGTTAATCATTATATTTCTTAATACCATACAATACTCTATTCCAAATAAAACACTATGCAGTGATCAGTTTTGGTCCATCAGCATACCGAGTTGCATCTGCAGGTTAGACAAAATTGTTGGGCTTCTAACGGCTGTTTGGGCTAATGCTTGTTCCACAGTAGACAACTGATAGTGGAGGTTGGGGATATTTGAGTCGCCTTGAATGAATTATCTATTGCTTTTGTTTTTGCAACAGACTAAGGCAGCATTTCTCAACCGGTAGTATGCATAAAACTCATAGATGGAACAATGGAAAAGTCTCCATTCATAAAAATCACGAAATGAAACAATATACATTAAATATTATTTGGTTTATTTGATATTAATAATAAAAATTTAATTTCATGCAATAAATATTTATATTATTATCATCATTTTATAGTTTCTAATAAAATACGATTCCATGTAAAATAAAGCGGGTATACACTTTTGATAATAAAAAAACATAACTATTTGGTCAAGTGATGCATGAACATTTTCTAACTGTTTATGTGGTATGTGTACCTAAAAAGGTTAAGAACTACTGGACCCAGGAGTATTAGGTATAAGTATTATTGTGTTCAGAACTTATTTATTTCTTTTCTAAAAAATCACAATATTGAAAGTAATTCTAGACATTTTTTTCTACTGTGAGAAATTTTGCTTTTGGAGATTTTTACGATACATTATTAAGTTTTAGTAACTTCCTATCATACAATATTCAAATTCCTCAATTATACATTTTTATCCTTTTTTTTTAAATTGATTATTTCACTTTATAGGTATGTATTACTAAACACTATCTATACGTTCTTATATATTTTGAAAGATTAGGTTCCTATCTAGAAATAAGTTTTTGATGAGTGAAAATTGAATTTTTATTAGATTTTGTCGAAAAAATGGAAAATGCTAAATCTGAACCGAATTTGGGGATTGTCAAAAAATCAACTATGAATAGCAATGATGCTGAAGATGAAAATAAAGAAAATTTTGCACCTGATGATCAGTTTGATGATCAAAATATCAAGTAAATATTTTACTTATCAAGTCTTTCTTGTACTTAATTAATTTAATCTACTTTGTACCTATTTGTTAAAAATTATGCAGGTACTGTGTATAATTCTACATTTTTTTTAATTTTAAATTCCAATAAAATTAAGACTATTTACATATATTATAAATATCTATATTAAGTTATATTTTACAGTTCATTGGCTCATCAATTAATTCGTTCTGCAAAGAAGTCAAGATCATCAAAATTACATAATAGACACTCAATTACTGTGGAAGGAATTGAACTAGAGTTGCCGCGGATCAAACACCATGCTATGATTACCAGACTTGATGAACTAGAAAGCACGCCTAAATTAGATTTGCGTACTCGTTCTGTTGTTAAATCTGACTACAAATATGAACACATTAAATCAGGTTCGCAAGATAATCTTATATTAGATAAAAGTTCAAAAAAATTCATGAGTATTGCTGAAAAAGTCAGGAATTTCTTCAACAACACACCGCCTAGGTTTCATTCTAAACCCACTGTCTCAGCTGGTGAGTCACTTTCATCCGGTGCTCGTTTATTGTCTTCTTGCTTTCTATTAGCCCATACAATTCTGTTGTAGGTAGTTCTTCTTTATATTTAGTAACAGGTACTTGCTTCATTAAAATAAATTGCCACAATGATTTTTTCATTTTTATAATTTAGTTGGACATTTTGTTTATATATCAATCATCTAATGCATGCTACAACATCGTTAAATTTAGTACTACAATACTAAAACATAAAATACCTTAACTAAATATGATAGATTTAATAATTTTAACTTGTTTTAGGTTCAAAGGTTTTCAAATCTAGAAGTCTCTTCCCCGGTGCATTTGAGCCAAGTATTAGCTCAAATAATACTAATAACATAATAGAAAATAAACCAACACAGTAAGCTCTTTTAATTGAAACCTTTTGCATTTTGTTTTTGTAAATTTGTGCATAATTTAATATAGGGGCAGCAATGAAAACAAACAGATTTATAATAACCATAATATTAATATTCCCACAAGCAGTATCAAAGTGGTAATACAATTCATTGTCATTAAACACTTAATTCTAGAAATGTATAATGATTTTAATTTTTAGCCAAACAAACCCCAAAAGATAAAAGTTCTCAACTCTCAAGGTGGAGTTCAAGTGGTTGAAAACAAAGAACTGGCTCATGGTGGTATTCGAGTACTTGAGAAACAATTGCATACTGTTCCAAAACCTTTTAGTTTTGAATCTCGTAAATCGTGTGCTACTAAACCTCAAGTATAATAATATTTATTAAATAATAATACTATGAAATAATGATGGGAAATAATTTTTTTTTTTTTCTGTAATTTATAGAATGTAAAAAGTACAGAGCAACAGTGGTCATTTAAAGCACGGCCAGCTACGGTCCTAAAAAAGAAACCATTTGTTCCCAAGCACGAAAAAAAATATACTGAACCAAAAAATATACGTTTAAATACTGAAAGACGTGCTCAAGAATGGATGGTTTTTGAACTTGAAATGAAGGAGAAGTTTTCACAATATGAAGAAAACTCAAGAATGGTAATAATGCTGCTCTATATATATAATTATATTTAACTAAATGTATGGTTATTATATTTTAGAGACAAGAAGAAATGAAAAAAAAAGAAATGGATATGATAAAAAATATGCGGCAACAAACAATTCATAAACCAGAACCAATAAAAAAATATAAGCCAGTTTTAATAAGAAAATCTGGAAGACCAATTACTGTTCCGCAAAGTCCTAGGTTTTCAATCCGTCCAAATAGAAATTGTTTAAACCCCATATGTGAACAACTTTAGTAAGTTTACTCATACTTATGATGTGTATTTTATTATGTAATATTACTTTTTAGCCATTGTATGTTTTCTTCTAAAATACTCAATATACATACTGCTATAATGTAAATCGGCAATGTGAATTAATAATAACTACTATTTAATTATTAACATTTTTAGGTGACTTCAATTTTTTAATCATGTTATCTGTGTCAAAATTAAAAATGTTGATAAGCAATATTACTAGTCGAGTACTATGTATTTGTTGGTTAGCCCACACAAATTTTACTTGTTGCTGCTTGTCCTGAAAAATGAAACATATTTTTATTAAACATCAAAAAAATACTAGCACTTTTATTTTATGTTCAAAAAAAGTTTATGTTGCTTAGTCCCTTTTGTCTTTTATCAGTATTTTATGACATTATATTATTAATTTATGCATATGAGTATAATATATGAATGATTTATTCGATTTAAGAGTGCAGGAAAATATATTGTTTTTGATATTTGAGTGTAATTTAGGGTTGAGGACATTTTTAATTTCGTTGGAATGCCTTGAAATAATTGTTAAATTGTGTGCATAAATACTGATATTTTAATTTTGGGACTTATCTTTTTTATTTATAATTTATAAATAAATTAAGAGAATATTTGAAAGTTTTTTAAAGTATATTAATATCATAGATTTTCAATTTAGAACTTTTGAACTTAAAAATATGGACCCTAATTTATTATTATACAATGTTATATTGGTGTATTTAATTACTTTATTTACTCTGTACAATACATTTCAGTCATGATTAAAAAAATCATCCTATTTCTATAAAAATATTCAAATACCTAATAAAAATTTTATTTTATTTTTTCAGAATATTGATATCATAGAAGAATTTAATCTGATTATCAACATTTATTTTTATATTATACTATATTTTTTTTTTTAATCATTAATATGTTTTTAATTTCTTATTTTTTTTTTTATTTAATGGTAAATATTAGTACGACCAATGTATTGTAAATATCAAATTTTATTGACTGGAAATAATGAGTTTGAGGATAAACTTTAAATAACATTTTAATAGGAAAGGAATAATGAATATTGTTAAGAAAAATTTGTCTTCTGTGTTTTACAAAATTGTTTATTTGATGTATGACATACTTATCTCTTTTAATAAATTAGCACTTATTCTGTACTATATTTTTAGAATATTATAATACATCATGTTACTATACTCTATTCATATTATGAAATATACTTTGTGCTGACACTTAGGTGGACACACATCTGTTTGTTACTCCCGCTGAGTACCATCAGTTTTTCTGCCTTGTAATTAAGCCCCTGTTCATTAGTTTGTTGTCAGTTACAATATTTTACTTGAGAATTGTAGTGTCTGAATTCTATTATTAAATTGATAATCACTAAGTTAATTAACATTTAAACAACTTTTTTTGATATGTTCATAATAGTGAATTATTGTGCATAGAAAGTGCTCTGCTAATCTTAATACAGTGATGAACTGGTCCGGCCAAAGCGAAAGAAATATTCCACCTGTGTGGAATTTTGTTATTTATTTATTGAGACAAAATTATATATCGTACGGTGTACGAAAAAATAAAAAAATGTACAGAGAATAGTACAATTTTTAATTTTTTGGCTGAATTGCATAAAGATGAGTTAAAATTTAAAAATTTCACTCGCATGAGTTCAATTAATTTTGACTTTATACTAAATGAAATTGGAGAGGCAATAAGATGACAAGACACAAATTTTCGTTTGTCTGCTATAATAGGTGGCTCTAAGGTTTAGCTGAGTGAAGGTCGGTCAGAGCGTCAGAATAGTTAAAACATTGTTAAGTAGATAGGTATATTTTAAAGTATTTATTTTATTATGTAAGTGGGTTGGGTTTTTTCTTCTTTTACAAAAAAAATCAACGGTTTAAACTAATGAAAAATAACAATTTGAAAGGGAGAACAAGCGGCCGTAGAAAAATGCATTTCGAAACGCAAGAAAAAAATGTTGAGAAAATGTTATAAAGTTTTTTACTGAAAAAAACTAAATACAAAAATAAGTTCACTATGAAAATATAATTATTTGAGAGGCACCAGGTTTTGAAATTTAAAATATTTTGTATCTTAAAATATCAAAATTAAGTTGCCGAAAAAAAATTGTAAGGGTATTGTGGGCGACCGCAGAAAAACACAATTGAAGAAGAATACATTTTTTCTAAAAACATAAGAATTAAAATAATGGAAACAAAAAAGTGAGAAGTATGCGGAGGCCTGTAGAAAATAGATTATAAGAGGCAAAAAAAAATATAAATTATAGAATCATACCGCTGTAAAGACTACTGACTGCAATCTCCAGATTCATTGACTGACAAAAATAACTTACTATAGTCACTCAAATAAATTGTTTTTATTGAAGAACGAATACTAGAACTCGACGTGGTCTATCAAAGTTAAAAATATTTTAATTGAAAAATCAATTGAGTTAAATTAATGCGAAAAAAAATTGGAAGTGGTCAGTGGAACGAGGGTGCCCGCAGGTAAAAGTATTCAAAATACAAAAAATATGTAAAAATGTGTATTAAAAATAAATATTAAAGTCTGCAGTCTACATTATCACAATTAATAAACTCATAGTTTTATTTACAAAAATTGGATAATGAAATAATGCACGTTTATGAGGTACTAACTGGCCATAAAAATTAAAAAAAAATGTTTTGAAAAACCTGAACTAGAGTTAAATTATGGAAAAAAAATGTGAAGAGAGGCATGGGCGCCCGCAGGCAAATGAGTTTAAACAATCAAATAAAAAAAAATTATTAAAAAATTTGATTGATTTTAACTTAAAAAATAAAAATTTGAAGGGGGGCATGGGCGCCCGCGGGCTAATCAGTTTTAAGAATCAAAATACAAAAAATATAAAAAAATGTGTATTAAAAATAAATATTAAAGAATGCAGTCTACAATATCACTATTCCTAAATTCAGTTTTATTTACATAAATTAGATAATGAAATAATGAGGTACTAACTGGCCATACAAATTTAAAAAAATGTTTTGAAATAACTGAACTAGAGATGAATTATGGAAAAAAAAATGTGAAGGGAGGCATGGGCGCCCGCAGGCAAATGAGTTTAAGTAATCAAATAAAAAAAAAATTATTAAAAATGTTGATGGAATTTTAACTTAAAAAATAAAAATTGGAAGGGGGGCATGGGCGCCCGCGGGCAAATCAGTTTTAAGAATCAAAATACAAAAATATGAAAAAATGTGTATTAAAAATAAATATTAAAGTCTGCAGTCTACA